AGTACAATTATAACTATAGTCTATAATTGAAGATGATGTACAAAACGTGTAATTACTTATCTACTATTAATTGTAGTTATTATAATTTTTTATCGTACCGAACTGTCRAGGCCTAAGTTGAGCAGCATCATGAAGAATATCAAAGCCCAAAACACTGATCCTGGCATGGCTGCTATGGCTGCAGGATAAACGATAAACACTAAACCCGGTCCTTCGGTTGCCACATGTTGAATTTGTCGACCAGAAACATGAGACATATAACCCAAGACAGTGAAAATAACGAAACCGGATAAAAAGCTCGTGATCGAATTGCACATAATCGCCAAGTATGCATCTCTAAATAATCATATATATTAAACACACGTATAGTAATATTCATTGAAAGTGGACATCAGTGACACAACTAGAAAATAATTTCAGCGGGAGGGGTGTTACATTGTTTGAATATATAAATACATAAGAGATAATAATATGCTAGGCGAAAAAAACAAAGCAAAAAACATGATTTCGAGGGGAGTTTATAACCCCCCCCCCCTCGTTGACATATAATAATATATATAATTAGTAATAGGGATTAGCCAAATCTCGGTTTCCGTCTTATCGTAAGGCGCAAAACATTTTTACTAATTTAATAATATTTAATAAGTAAAGACAAAATTACCTAACACACAATTTAATAAGATATATAATTATTGTACGTTATTATATTTTTTTGCATATTTTGCATTCTCTCATTTTATTACATTTGATGATATATATATTATCTTATTTACAATAATTGTTCTCAATAAAAAAAAAAAACTCTTTTTTCCCCGATCTTGGATATTATATATTTTTCATTATCTTGTGCGGTTCGTGGCTCTTAATCGTGGTCTATCGCCGCTGACGATCCCAATTACCTATAATATATTATGTACTTATACAATAAATTATAAAGATCRATATTATATTAATTTTTTCGAAAGTACACCATATAYAGTAGGTTACCTACTCAACACAGGCATACAGCAAAATCACGATACGAAAGGCTGTATAAGACTTATAATTAGTGAATGGCGTCTTACACTTTAAATGGATTAATAAAAACACATGAATTGATTAGTAATATAGTTGCACACATAGAATATTATGATTTGTGAAGATTTTATGAAATATTATAAATGTAATTTAAAATGTTAATATAGTTATAAACTCATATTGAACAAATTACTAATATAGATAGAGTTAATATTGATAGGTACATCTAAAATTTTAAAGTCACACTAAATTACAATCTAAAATCAAAAAACTTGTAGCTAATTAAAAAAAACAATAATGTAGATTATAACAGGTTTATAGACTATAGTTATATCTTATATATCTATAAATATACCTAAATTGATCTTATCATTATATTTTAGTTTTATGGATCGTAATTAGTATATTTTAAAAATATGGCACCTATCTACTGTTACATAATTATAACATAATTTGTGGGTATAGGTTAATTTTTTTTTATGCTAAAAGTTTTAAAATTTTTTTAATTTATTAAATTATTATATTGATTTGAATAGGTTATATTACCGTCAAACGTCTGATATTTAACAATTAATGATGGACAGTGGACATTCAAATAATTAAATATTGGAAAATAACTTTTAAAATATTATGTATTTTAGTGTTTATAAAAATCAAAATAMGTAACACTTACCTCAAAACATTGTTATGATATTTGTTATACGAAGCATATGCTAATAACACTCCAAATCCAGGACCTAGTGAAAAAAATACTTGTGTAGCCGCATCAACCCAAACCTAACACAAATTAATGCTATTAAAGACAAAAAAAAATGTGATCMACATTGTCAATGACAAATTAAAATGATAGAATTGAATCAAATGTAAGTAAAATTAAAATATAAACATTTTTATCATAACAAAAAAATATAATAACTTTTAAAACAAAATTTAAATATACAATTTAAAAAGCCTACAATTGTAATACAAGTTTTCAACGAAACTAAGAAACAATTAAATTATTTTGGTCACCTTTTTACCCACATAAAATAAAATACAACATTAGCTTGAACCCAGTGTATTGTTATAAATTATCATAGATMTGACCACTTTTTAATCTTACAAAGAAAACAATAATTTTCAGAAATATCCATAAAATAAATCTCTCATTTCATACAATCCATGCATTTCGCCATTATAATTGTAGGTAGRTACATGTATAATTTTTCAATTTTTAAAATCTAAATACTAAAATGTAATCAACGAATGAATTATTCGAATATATACATTTTTTAAGTAAAATGTTAGTTCTTGTCTAAAATACGAATGTTKAAAGTCCTTATTAGTTATTACATTTACATTTTTTTTAGTCGGCTAAATATTTTATATAATATATATTTACTTATATGCGGCACATACCTACGGTGTTATATTTTATATTATTCATAATACGCCTATTTATATAATATAATATAATATCGTGATATATTTGGTACGTGAGTGGGCGTGTGTGTGATGTGTATATGACTACATACATTATAGTGTTTGATTTATTTTGATGTCAGTGGTTCATAATAAAATTCAGTAAGTATTAATATAAGTAAGGTACGCATTTCAAATTGTCGAAGGTTAAGTGTACGTATAAAGCATGTATATATTGTACATTGTACATACATAGGCTTATAGTGGTCAATATATAGGATTCAGCAAGAAAATGAAATCTCATTTTGACACGACAATTCCATTTCCTCAATGGGAGTGTTCATAATGGACACTACTTTATCCGTAGCAATGTTAGCAGAATACGTAAACAGCTGTATAATTTCAATCATAAAAATATGCGGTGAATATAATATTATTAGTGTATATGTGTCATGTGGAAGTTTTTGATGTGAAATTGTTTTTATTTTTTTCAAACGCGAATCAACTAATAATACATGTTGATGGAATTAGATTAACTACATATTCAGTATTTAAATAGGTTCAACTGTTAATATATGAAGTCCAGCAAAATAGATTATAAGTACAATATACTAATGTATAGGTACAATTAAAAAGTAAAAGTCTAATAAGCAGATTAGCAGAATAATTATAAATAGCTAAACACGGATACTTATAATTATATTAATAGTATTTATAGTAACTTTTCTAATATTTAGTTGTTAGTTTATTGTCAAATGCGTTATAGGTATACCTAACCGGAATCTAGAATAAATGTTGATTTATTATAACGCACCCCTTTTATCTTTTAATTTATTTTGAATTTATTAAAACTATGATTTTTGCAATCTTCAAGTTCACTTAAAGAGCATGTTATTTTCAAAATACTAAGCTATTCCAAAACTGTTAATTAAACGAGTATCCTTTATTTGTGTGACAGTACAGAGCTATACTTGTATTTTTAATGTAATTTGATATCATGGYCGCCAACTCTTCTAAACCTTTGTTTTTATAGACCATTTGTAGACACTTTATATTTTAGATTTAGAATAATTAAATAATCTTACCTCTGGTTTAGCTATCATAGAAAAGTTTGGATACAAGTAATAACGAACGCCTTGTGCCGAACCAGGTAAAGTGATTCCTCTGATGAGTAAGAAAATTAATACTACGTATGGAAACAATGCAGTAAACCAAACGACCTATGGTAAAAATAATGTTTTATGAATTATTAGACTGTACCTATGTATACAAAATAAAAATAAGCAAAATGTCCAACTTTTCCTGAAGTAGATATTCCTTTCCATAAACTGAAGTAGCATATAAGGTAAACCAAAAACAAACATCCTGCCATATCCCATTTAATATATCCTAAATCGTGAATACCTTCACTGTGGTTTAATTCAAGTACTCTACGTCTGAAAAATAAACCATTTTTATTCTGTATATTAATTTTAAATAAATTAGGCACTTACAACCAGTACTCCGAAGAAGCAGATGCTAAGCGGGAATCATTTGCTAATACTGTAACATTGTCTATTGAGTTCAAGCTTGAATCATTTGACCATATAGTTAACTAATATATATATATATATAT